ATCAATATTTCAAAAAATACTTCAACACAGACAGTCACAGTCACAGTCACAGTCACAGCCATACTCAATAGTCAGTGTTCAATACCTGTTCTAAATTTCTCTTGACAAAGTTCTGAAGGTCTTCGTACCTCTTGAACTCAAACAGTTGAAGCTTGAACAAACAACAGAAAAGGAAAAGAAAAAAAAGCAGTGAAGTGATGTGATCAAAATTAAAAGTATGTGATGACACATGTGTGATAATATGACATGTAAATACAGCCAAACCTGTCCAAGGCAACCACCTACTGATCAGGAGAAAAGTGGTTATCTCAGATAGGTGATCTTCATGGACAGTGTCATCATAATGTAGAATCCTGGAGAGGTGGTTGTTAGAGCAGGTTTGACGGTATACCTAAGTTCTGCAAACAAAAGCTTGTGAAGCAACACTAGTGACATAATGAAATAATCCTTACTTGAATAAACATAACAAGGCCATGAGACATAAAATAAAGACATAAGTGTATGCCAACACAAATGTACAAGCATCGTCGAGTAAGTTGTTATCTTTGCAGAGACCGTGATAGTGTGTTGCTAGAAAGTTAAAAAGAAACAATACCACATTCTTCGATTCACGGACATTGTAAAGAGATTGTAAAAAGATAGCTTAATATAAAATGGTGTGATTTAAAACATCAAAAACATTCTGTAAACAGTAGTACCTTAACTTCAATGAATATTGAGAGAGGAGGAGAGAAGAACAAGGTACTCTCTCACAGCAATATCTTTCCAAATTTTACTCTATATAACATCACATTGACACCTTTTGTTTTAGTAATCAAAATACTCAATAAACAAAAACTCCTTAGAAATACACAAAAGCAGACACCTTTGTTCTCTAATTTCTGAGGTAAGGTACACTGCATATATAGCAGAAAGTAAAGACTTAAAACCTTTTTTTTATTTCATCAATACTACAGAAAACAAAGGATGGGAAAGGGATATTGTCAGCATCTCTCTATAAGCACCATAAGTTGTTTTTTTAAAAGTTTTAAACAAATTAAAGAAAAAGCGAGCGCACCAATGAGAAACATGAATTGGGCACTTGTTATTTTTCAGTTATTAACTTGGAAGGAAATAACAAAACAGAACAAAACTATATTGTGAGATGCGCTTTTGTGTCTTTATTCATAAAAAAGGCTTAATCTGGAAACCCCCAGAAATCGTTTGGATGGTTGTTGAAAGACGCTGACAATACACAAATCTTGTGTTTGTAGTTCTCAGGTTACCCACTTCCAGCAACAACCTTTGCTACAATATATCCACTGCCACATACCATCACCACACCCACCACCACAACAAAATACCCTTGTCCAGAACAAGGATAGATTGTAAATATATCACATCCTTCTTTTTCTTGGCTTTTCCAGTAGTTGGACATTGCTTCTCTAACCTCTCTACAATAAAACACTCTGTCTCTTGCCACTATGACTGCTTGAGTTGTTAAAGAGGATCAGTGAGATTGGGAAGAAGGGAGGCAGGTCAGTGGGAACACTATCCTGCTAAGGAAAAGATGCATCCTCAAATACATCACAAAGTAACTTTCTAGGAATTCATTTGTCTAAAAATAAGGCATTTGTGCATCACGCCAGAGTATCTCGTTTTACTCTTTGTTCATACTGACATGGTTAGCGCAGTTTTTCTCTAAGTTTTTACAATTGCTCAATTTTTTTTCAAAAGAGGAAACAATAATCCATCTTAAAAAGATTGGTATAGCATTAAAGTAACTTATCTCAAACAGTCCCCCTTCCCAGAGAAGACGACTCACTTTTGAATGGTCCTAGAGAGCACTAGACTGTACAAGAACAGTATACATCCATTGCCGCTGTCACTCTGAAACTGATAGTATTTAAAATTCATTAATATTTGTTTGAAAATGTCCAGAATGAATAAACATTTATAAAAAAAATGTATCAAGAAAAACATAAAATACTACCTTGAGAAATGTTTGGTACTTGAATAAATATTCTTACCCAGACCCTCTGAAATAAATGGAAAAATTATCCTAAAAATGTTTTCAAGTTAACCTTAATCACATTTGTACGAAGTCATTCCCAAAAATATTCCGGCTATATGGAAATAATCTGAGGGCTCCACTATTGGTAATAGCCTCCAGTCAATGTAATGATGAATATTGCTCTGTTATATCACTATATAAACACAGCAAAAAAATTATGCAATGATGGGGAAGGAGTGAAAGGGTGGGGGGGGGGGAGGAAGTGGGGAGGCAGGGAGAGGGGAAGGAGGAAGGGGGGACATGGGGAGAGGGGAAAAAGGAAGAGGAAAAGGAGGACAGGAGGAGGGGGGAAGGGGGGGGGGGTTGCAGGAAAGAGTCTAGCTACATTATCAATATTTCAAAAAATACTTCAACACAGACAGTCACAGTCACAGTCACAGTCACAGCCATACTCAATAGTCAGTGTTCAATACCTGTTCTAAATTTCTCTTGACAAAGTTCTGAAGGTCTTCGTACCTCTTGAACTCAAACAGTTGAAGCTTGAACAAACAACAGAAAAGGAAAAGAAAAAAAAGCAGTGAAGTGATGTGATCAAAATTAAAAGTATGTGATGACACATGTGTGATAATATGACATGTAAATACAGCCAAACCTGTCCAAGGCAACCACCTACTGATCAGGAGAAAAGTGGTTATCTCAGATAGGTGCTCTTCAGGGACAGTGTCGTTATAATGTAGGAAAAAAAATGCAAAGGGAAGAGTGGGAAGTAGTCGTTTGTACAGGTAATTGTCCTGGAGAGGTGGTTGTTAGAGCAGGTTTGACAGTATACTTAAGTTCTGAAAACAAAAGCTTGTGAAGGAACACTAGTGACATAATGAAATAATCCTTACTTGAATAAACATAACAAGGCCATGAGACATAAAATAAAGACATAAGTGTATGCCAACACAAATGTACAAGCATCGTCGAGTAAGTTGTTATCTTTGCAGAGACCGTGATAGTGTGTTGCTAAAAAGTTAAAAAGAAACAATACCACATTCTTCGATTCACGGACATTGTAAAGAGATTGTAAAAAGATAGCTTAATATAAAATGGTGTGATTTAAAACATCAAAAACATTCTGTAAACAGTAGTACCTTAACTTCAATGAATATTGAGAGAGGAGGAGAGAAGAACAAGGTACTCTCTCACAGCAATATCTTTCCAAATTTTACTCTATGTAACATCACATTGACACCTTTTGTTTTAGTAATCAAAATACTCAATAAACAAAAACTCCTTAGAAATACACAAAAGCAGACACCTTTGTTCTCTAATTTCTGAGGTAAGGTACACTGCATATATAGCAGAAAGTAAAGACTTAAAACCTTTTTTTTATTTCATCAATACTACAGAAAACAAAGGATGGGAAAGGGATATTGTCAGCATCTCTCTATAAGCACCATAAGTTGTTTTTTTTAAAGTTTTAAACAAATTAAAGAAAAAGCGAGCGCACCAATGAGAAACATGAATTGGGCACTTGTTATTTTTCAGTTATTAACTTGGAAGGAAATAACAAAACAGAACAAAACTATATTGTGAGATGCGCTTTTGTGTCTTTATTCATAAAAAAAAGGCTTAATCTGGAAACCCCCAAAAATCGTTTGGATGGTTGTTGAAAGACGCTGACAATACACAAATCTTGTGTTTGTAGTTCTCAGGTTACCCACTTCCAGCAACAACCTTTGCTACAATATATCCACTGCCACATACCATCACCACACCCACCACCACAACAAAATACCCTTGTCCAGAGCAAGGATAGATTGTAAATATATCACATCCTTCTTTTTCTTGGCTTTTCCAGTAGTTGGACATTGCTTCTCTAACCTCTCTACAATAAAACACTCTGTCTCTTGCCACTGTGACTGCTTGAGTTGTTTTGATTTCAAAATAGATTTCTGTATAACACCCACACTGACAAGATAATATAATTAAGACTATGTAGAAGGTTGGGTGCTTTCTCCTAGCAAGTCAGGGCTAAACAGGGCCGAGTGAGAAAATCCTCAGCAGAAAGAAGGATGTATTCGATAGTCTTCCCAATGTTAGCATCGAAAGCTCATCATAAGTGCACAAGGTGAAGATCTTCACCGCTACACCCCAGATACCATAGTATACGAGACAACTGGGTGGACTAAAGACAAAACAGAGAGTGAAACATTCCAGGTGTCAGATATAAATTATGTGTAGAGTGTGCTGTGAACAGAACAGTTGAGAATCTTTTCATTTTAAAATCTAAAAAATACAATCTGTTTATACTCCCTGGTGCAACGTATTTATGTGTTTTAGTGAATGACTGAGGGAGCTAGTGAATAAATAGGATGGAGCGAGTGAGTGTATGAGTGAGAGAATCAGGAGAAGAAAAATGTAGATAAAGAGAGCAATGGAGAGAGACAGAGAGACAGGGAGACTTGAGAAAGAGAAACAGAGAGTAGAGAGAGTAGTTTGTGAACCAAAAGTGATCCTTGCTGTTGTACATGAACAAGTTCTAAAATCTCATTGAGAAACAAATTAACCTTTTCCTAACAATCTTCCTACTTTATTATAATTGTCCATCCATCAAAGTCTGACGACAGCAAATGTATCTACAAAGGAGAGCGTTTCTTAAAGAGAAACTGAAGAAGATTAAGACAATTTGTGGCTTCTGCTATGACCAATAAGACCAATTCTGCCAGTGGAAGTTTATGCCACATTTTGAACATTTTAAGTTTCATTTCCACTTGTAAAGGTATACAGCTAGTGGGCTTTTCTCTTGGCTTAATTTGAAAGCAATATGAGAAGGGTAAAGACTAGAGGTGCACATCTTACAGTCCATTGATAGCCATGGCAATTCTAAGAAGCCAAAAGAGAAAACTGACCTCAACGATAATGTTTCTGAGTGTTCTAGGGTCCTCTGTGGTAAAAATAATTGTAAAGCACATAGAGCATGCCGTAGAGCATGTATATGTGCTATATAACTGTAATTACTAATATTATAACAAAGAGAGATCGGGGGCTCTCGTGGCCTAGAGGTTAAGGCGTTCGCCTTTCATTCAAAAGGTCCCGGGTTCAAATCCGGGTAGCGACCGAAAAATTTTCTTCTCTAAATTTGTCTCCTTTTACCTCATTTCCTGCTCTCTAGCAATGTTCTGTTGTCTGCTTTCGTCTCCTCTTTCTGCTCCCTCCCCCTCACCTCCTTTGCCCCTTCCTCTGGGCTCCTGATTCTTTCTGCAGCCTTTCTACTGCTACTCCATCGCTTCTTCTTACTGCTGTCTTTCAGCCACACCCCTGATCTTCTTGAAGGAAAGATCTACACCTGGCCTTCTCTGACAAGGGCAAAAAATTTCGGAAGGCTCGTGTGCAAGTTGCACACGTTAAAGATCCCTTGGTGGTCTAAAATCGATGAGAGTAGGCATCGGCCGCCACCCGGGCAAAATTCAAAATTTCCGAGCAACTGAAAATATTAGGTGTGTCCCGCGCGCTCATATGACCTTATGCAGTTGCGAGTGCCGTAAAAGACTTTACAAAAACAAAACAAAGAGAGATCTACAGAGCTGGCCTACCATAGAAACTGCATCTCCCTTCAATGCTTCACAGGAACAGAGGATGAAAAAGTAAAAACAAAGATTGGGTTTCCCTTACACATAAGAGTCACAGTAGAAGAAGAGCTATATGTCTACAAGAAAAAAACAATATTATAAATTCACCATGAGCACAATTGACACTGGAGCAGTCACTTGTGAAGACCCTATCATCTTGTTCCATGACGGAACATGCTCACATTGGCTGCAGGGACCGGGGAAGACAACAACAGGCAAGAGGCTTTTTAATTGTCTCAGTTGTGCGTGATAAATATTGGGTGAGTAAAAAGTTCAAGATAAAATATTTGACCAAATATACTCAATCTGCATAAAGCTTTTGATGTGACAGCAAAAACATCTTCAGGGGGGGGGAAACAACAACAATAACAACAAAAAGAATAGAACAAAGAAAGAACAACAAATTAATAATTCAATTTGATTCAAAGTCCGAAATAGAATTATTCGGATATGAAGTAATCTGCACAGATTCATCACTACTGAGCAGATGAAGGATAAGACAATTACAAGTTATGGGCGAAGAAGACTTTTCATTAAAACTTTTCCTAAGAGGCAAAAGCTATCAAGTCTTCAAATATGAGACTTGTAAAGTATTGAACAGAATTAACATCCCTTTCAACAATGTCATCGAGGTAACCTTAACCCAATCCTCAATAACTGCAGATCAAAAAGCTAAGAGCTGTCCCAATAGGGCCTATTAGGGTGACATTAGTACAAAGTCAGCAATGTGGCACTGGGTCCCTTTGGTGCGGAATGGTGCATGATGCATTGATTCGCAAAAGAAAGGACTGTGTTAAATGCTGGACCTCCAATTAAATATCCATGTCAAATAAAACTGAATTAACTGAGTGAGAACTTATTAAAAGTCCCCCCCTCAACAATTCAGTGTAAAAACTTAACACAAGAAACATTTAAGAATATGGGGAATAACAGATCCACTCCGCTGCCAAGAAACGAGTGGCTGGGACCTGCAAAGGACAAAACATTGCTCTTTTAAAAACACAAAAGTTGGCGTGACAAAAACCTTTTCAGTGATGCCGTCCATCTTGTAGCGGTAGTCAGGTCCAAAGCAGGCCTCCTGCTCCTTGAGGCACACACAACAGCGCTTCTTCTCCCCCGCCTGCCACAAGATCTCACAGATAGCACCGATCAGCGCCCGACGACGCTCAAACTCATTGGGACACAATGCACTGAGGATTGGATGGAAAAATATTTAAAGTGTACTAAAGCCTTATGGTTGCAAAAAAACAAAATTAAAAAAAACAAATTTTTAAAAATAAAATTAAAATTTCACTTTTTCGGATTCATGAGCGAAACTTGACTTATAAAGCTAAGTACTATACATACATACATCTTCCATCAATATCACATAATGCACAAAACACCTTTACAGACAATCTTACAGACACAGCAAAGGGATAACAAGGAAGAAGTACATCATGGAAATATAGATATAATGCAAAGCTGGGAAGTAGGAAATAATTGTTTGTACAGATGATTGTATTGGACATGGGGTAGTTAGAGCAAGTTCAACTCTATCTCAGGTCCATCTTTCTCTTACACATTCCTAGTGGCCCCCGTCTCAAATATTCTGTATAATTATTAGAATGATTTTAAATGTTTTATGTCCACAGTGACACTATTTGGATCATTTAGGAGGTGGGCTGCTTCCATCCTTCCTGTCGGAGCCTACTTTGATCGAGAGGAACAGAAACAGCATCCAAGAAGACAGAGATACATACTACTCCCAAAAAAATGTTTTAATGCGGGAATCAAACACATTTCTTCTGTGCACAACAGCAGGGAGCCTAACCCCAACACAGGCACTGGTAATGAGAGCTGGTTAACATTGAAAAATCTCAGACATTCACAATTCCTATCCCTGGTGAGCAAATTACCTCAACTGTGTGTTGTTCATGCATTTACATGTTTCTTAGTCCCTATCTCAAACGTCATAAATAAAACTGTAAAGACAGTATATCAGTGCCTGTCAACCTTTTATTAGCCAGCACCCACTTTTGCCACCTTTAAGAAGCTAAACTTTTCATATCACCCACCTACATAATTAAGTTCTCAATGGTTCATTAACCCCTTTCTTGCCATGTACATGTTACATCACAAAAATGCTCAATTTTTAGCTCTGAGCACTATCCTGGATGTTATGGGGATGAGGAAAGTGAGGACGGTGACACTATCAAAGACTTGCGGTCCAAATATGTCATGAGCGGGCCAGAACCAGGCAACAAATCCAACTTTCCTGAGACTGATAAGTTTGCTTTGCTGTCCTGGCTTATCAGCTAAGCTGAAAATCATTGCTGACAGTGAGAAAACAGATATCCCCTGACAATAATTAAAGGGGTAAAATAACACCCTTTCACTATCCGGGTGTTACCCATTGCACATCAAAATTACCAAATCGCCTCGAGTCCTTAGGGCACTCACCCAGAGCCAAGTAGTGCTGAGGACTTGTACTCTCTGTCAAAGATGAGCTGCTTCAGCATGTAGGCTTGCACACACAGAGCCAGGCCCCGCGCCCCACACTGTCACCACACAACACAAGGGAAATAACAATTTAAAATTTATTTGATGTTGAGCTGCTGTTGAAACTGTCCAAGACAACCACCCATTGTTGTAGAAAAAAAGTGGTTGTTATTGACTGGTGCATGTCTTGAAAAGTGTCATTATAATACAGAAAAAAAAACACAAGGGGGATCTGGTCATTTGTTCAGGTGATTCTCTGGGACAGGCGGCCTTTAGAGCAGGTTTGGCGGTAGTCTGAGCTAAAGACAGACACATTGACAGTATAATGGACACTAAGGAAATCCTGGTGACTTAAATGCCCTGAATTTTTTTTTTTTATCTGTTATCTTTGCTAAAGATACACAGATTACAAACAACATCATTAACAACCAAAGCTTCTATGTAAACCTTTGTTCTGAACTCAAAACATCTTAGAACAACTGGATATCTTATGACCTGACAAGAATTTTAATCCTAAATACACTTGCCCCCTTAATCCACTTTATATCATTTGAACATGGGTTGCTTCAAGCGTGCGTGTCAACACTCATCAAGGCAGAGAGACAGAGACAGACTCTTATCAAAATATTCCTCTTGTATGCAAGCAAAGAACATGACTATTAAAACCAAAGATGACTGACAAAGAGTACATTATACTGGTTTTTGTCCCCCCGCACAATGTGAATTTGCATTTTAATTTATTTTTTTAATTCACTAATTTTAGTAGGTCAGAAAATTTCTAGTAGGGATGCTACTGCATTGGTAGACAGGAAACTGGGTGAATCAAATCGTGAATTCAAAATGTTGGAAAAAAAAATGCAAAACACGAACAAAAAGTGCACCAACGAAAACCTGGTATACAGTATTTCAGCGTACTCGTAGAGTCTGTATGCCATAGGGAAACTGTCCATCTATACACATGAACTCAAACGTAGATTTCCTCCACTCTCTGGAGAATGAGTGGATCGGCGTGCCATACACAATCTTCCTGAGGTCCTGGAATGTGGGAGACAAAAAAGAAAAAGAAATGTCATATACCACCCTACACCTTATAACCTTATATATCATCAGTACGCTGTTCAGATGTATTAAGCCCAATTTTTTTTTTAATCGTTTTGCAGTTTATCTTAATCTTTGGTATCTGTTGCATGTCTGTGGGAAATATTTTTTTTTCGAAATTCAAACTCTAAGAGTTGAAACAAGAAAGAAAAGATACTTAAAATAGGTACAAATTATAAAAGAATGAAGCACTCATTTCATACTTACATTTGAAAAATTTTGCATTCTGGGCAGCTGAAGAGCTTTCGAACAAAATGCACTATATGATTTCATAATCAACAAACAAGAAAAACAGCTTAGGCTGTCAAATTAAAATATTATATCAAAAGTAACAGAGACTGATACTGTCAACGTTTTGAGCTATGAGCCTTGCCTTCCAAAATGTCCTTACTTAGTCACAAACATAATAATAATAAAAGATAATAATAGATAGCATTTGTATAGCACATATCCCGACTCAACAGCAAGCTCTATGCGCTTTGCACTATATTAGTTATACAAGTTCAAATTATTACATTGACAGACTTACAAAAATATGTCATTAATGTCCTATTCTAATCTGGTATCTGCCAAATAAGTTAATAACCTTTTTTGAAAAAAAACAACTACGATTTTTTTTTGGGTGGTTTATATCATATCAACCAAAATTTCTAAAAATCAATTTTTGTATGTTCATTTTGCTTATTATTGTATCATCAATTGTAATTACAATTGTGTATTACATGGTTTAAAACAAAAAATTGTTTTGAACTAATTTGGTGAATACCTGATTAGGTTGGACATGTGTAATGTGTTTACGGTGAATCTGAAGATTCCCACAGTTAATGACATTTTCCGTCTAGAACCAAAAAACAGCAGCAATAAGAATTTCATTAATTTAGTGAAATTACAGGATCTTGAGCTTTCTGAAAAGATCAGGATAATTCCGTAACTGCTTAAGTAACTGTAGCTGCTATGGAAAGTAGGTTTATCCTCAAGTGTGACACAGTTTGTGTACATGTGTGTTTGTATCAATGTGTGTTCATAAGTGCATACACGTTTTTGTTCGTTTGCTTTGTGCGTGTGGGTGTGTTTCTATAAGAGCATGTAAGTGCATGTTTGTGTTTGTGGGTGTTTATGTGTGTGTGTGGGGGGGGTAGGCTATGTGTGTGAGTGTGTCTGTGCGTGTGTCTGGGTCTGTGTGTGTGTGTGTGTGTGCGTGTGTGTGTGCGTGTGTGTGTGTGTGTGTGTGTGTGTGTGTGTGTGTGTGTGTGTGTGTGTGTGTGTGTGTGTGTGTGTGTGTGTGTGTGAGTGTGAGTTCTTAGTTTTACTTTTAAGGGGGGAGCTTACTTACTTTACTTTTACTTTTTCATCCTCTGTTGCCGTTAAGCGTCGAGAGGAGATGCAGTTTTCTATGGTAGGCCAGCTCCGCAGCTCTTTCAGTTGTGATGTTATGTTTTTTTAGGGTTTCCTTGACACCCTCGATCCACCTTTTGTGTGGCCTTCCTCTTCCTTTATAGCCTGAGTGCTTGGTGTTGTAGGCTCTCGAGGCTGGCTGGTCAGGTGACATGCGTAACAGGTGGCCAAACCATTTTATCCTCTGTCTTTCCATGTAACGCAGGCAGGACTCAGTGCCGATAGCTGCTCTTACTTCTTCATTTTTCTGCCTGTCTCGTCTTGTGATGTTAAGGGTTTTGCGGAGACATTTCATCTCGCATGCGGGTGATTTTGCTTTCATGGGTTTTGCTTAAGGTTCAAGTCTGGCACTGATAACATAATGTTGGTATGAATATTAAGGTGATAAGCTGTCTCTTTGTGTCCATGGAGATGTTTGGATGAGATAGAAGAGGTGCGAGCTGGTAGGTGACAGCGTTGGCTTTTTGAGTTTGCATTTCTATTTCTCTGTCTATGGACCCGTTTTCAGAAAAAGTGCTGCCAAGATATTTAAACTCTTTCACCTGTTTCAGTTGTTTACTATAGACATGGATGTTCAGGGGACTATGGCTTCAGCTCACTTTCATAACTTCTGTTTTTGATGTGCTCATTTTCATGTTGAATTTCTCACAGGTGTTGTTGAGTTCGGTAGTGTGATTTTGGAGGCTTTGTTAGTCATGATGAATTAGACATTGGTCGTCAGCGAACAGAAATTCATTAAGGCTTTCTGGGCTTTGGTTTGCTTCTTGCGTTATTGTGTCCATATATATTATAAACAGGAGGGGAGATAGAACGCATCCCTGTCGTACTCCAGATCTTACTTTGAACCAGTCTGTATTTCCTTCCTTTGTTCTTACTGAGCTTCTGCTGTTGGTATATAGAGCTCTGACATTATCTAACAATTGTCCTCTGACGCCATACTTTTCGAGTGTCTTCCAGAGTTTTGCATGGTTTACTCTGTCAAAAGCCTTCCCCTGGTCTATAAAGACGATGTTAGATTCTTTGTTGTGTTCTATTGTTTTCTCGCATATATGTCATAATGCGAATACGGCATCCGTGCATTCTCTTCCCTTTCGGGATCCAAACTGAGCTTTGCTCAGATTTCTCTCTACAATAGGTCTTATGCGCTGCTCTAGTATCTTTGCATACATTTTTCCTGAGTGGCTTAACAATGAGATGCCTCTGTATGTTGTGCAGTCGCGTTTGTTGCCCTTTTTTTTCCATAAAGGTACCACTATGGCTTTCTGCCAGTCTTCTGGGCATTTTCTTTGTTCCCAGGCTCTGTTGAAAATATGCCTCAGCCACAGTATACCGGTGTTTCCACAAGTTCTTATGGCTTCCGCTGTGATGTCATCTAGTCCTGGGGCTGTCCTTGGGGCTGGTCTTGAGTGCCTTTTCTATTTCACTGGGAAGTATGGGCAGTTCTGTTTGATCTCCATAGGATGGTTGGAACTCTACTTGTTGTCCGTAGCAAGCGTCTGGGTTGAGCAGTTCTTGGAAGTAATTTTCCCATCTTTTCTTGATTGCATGTTTGCCGAGAATGGCATATGTTTCCCTCTTTATCGTTTATAATGCATGTCGGGTTGTATGGGTCTTTCCTTATCCGCATGCTCTTCACACTTTAAAAAAATTCTCTTGGGCTTTCCTTGCAGATTTTGCTCAGTTTCTCGCCATATATTTTCCATGCATTTTCTTTAGCAGTTTTGATGATCCTTTTGGTCTCTCTTCTCGCTTTCCTGTATTCTATATAGTCTTTTTCGGTCTTTGACTTCTGCCATTTCTTGAAATTCTTCTTTTTCATTCTAATTGCTTCTTTGGTTTCATCATTCCACCAGCATGTTGTTCTGCCTTTGTTTCCACCTATTCGTTTGGTGCCACAACTGTTTTTTAGTATTTCTGACAGGGATTTTTTTAATAAGGGGGGAGCTGCACCCCGAAAGTCCCGATTCGGCTTCCACTATGGATTTTAAGTTGTAGGCATTTTTAGCTTCTTCAGCCTCTCCTACAACTATTTTATCGCATAAGAACCCCCTAAAGCCTTACTTCTTCTCATATCGGGCATGCTTGTCACCACCATTTCCTCATAAAGTCTGTCTTTTATTTTTCTTTATTGCCCGTTTTCTCGAAACCTGGTTTTTCTATATACTTTTTAAAAAAATAACCCCACCATTTTTCATCAAATCTTCATGAAATTTTCATAGAATGAAGAAAAGATGTAATACTAAACACTTGCAAGATGAATTTTTAATATATGGAATAGTTTTTTGTTGGTGGCGTTTGGAGAGTGGATTTTCCCTGATTTTTTGTAAATGTGAATACTACCTCAGGAAAAAATTCATTAAAAATGTTCTAGGATGTTTATGAAAAAATCATCACACAGATTTGTAGATCTATTGTTTGCCAGATGCATGCAAAAAAACCCAATCAATTTCCATGACAAATAAGTGCGGTATTGATTATGTAAGACATGTCAACAAATCCAATATGGCCGCC